TAGTAGTAAGGTAATCGCTCTAACAACAGACAATGCCGCTCCAATGGTTTCATGTGGAAATTTAATAGAACAAGAATAGAACATAACTGAATTTCATCACCATCGTTGCGCAGCTCATGTCCTCAATATTGCTGTAAAGAATGGTGTAATGAACCATAATGAAGCAATTGCTAAGGTCCGAAAATTTGTAAATAAAGTTTGGGATTCGACAGTTATGAGTGACAAGCTTCAAGATTTCTGCGTATTAAATCGTAAAAAATACAATATGCTAATAATTGATGTAATTACACGATAGAATAGCACCTATCATATGCTTCGTCGATTCAAAGAAATGCAAGATGAACTTAAACTTCTTAAAACTGTATATCAGGACCTTGAAAGCAGTTACTCTAATAGAAGTGAGTGGATAAGCATTAATAATATTATTTACTTATTAAGGCCAATGCTTGACGCAACTGAAATACTCTCAAAAAGTTCATACCCAACTATTGGTGACGTCCGTTTGATTATTAAGGGTATCTTGCAACATGTTAAAAACTTTGTAATTGATAAATCAGATTCAGAAGAGGAGTGCGTAATGGCAGAATCTATTAAAGACCAGTTAAACAAATATTGGGCTATTTTCGACCATAACGAATCAACAAAGATAGCCACAATTCTTGATTCTGCATCTAAATTATTAACATTCCCAATTTCTACTGAGAGAGATAGCGCTATTGATAGCCTGAAAAAAGTAATAGCTCAGTATGAACTACCAGAATTAGAGACAGGTGCTACCTCCACATCATCTAATAATAAAAGAGAAAAATTTGTGTCATTAGTATTGCAACAAGCAACCGAACTACCAACAATTGGGAATGTGACAGGAGAGTTGGAAACATATTTGTCTACACCAATCATTAAAGATAGTTCTAGTTCTCTTCAATGGTGGGCTGATAATAATAATAGATTCTCGACACTTGCAAAGATAGCACGAAATTATCTTGCAATCCAAGGATCAAGTGTTCCTTGTGAAGAAATTTTTTCCACTGCTTCAAGAACAATTTCAAAGCTTCGTAATCGTCTCAATCCTGAGACAGCTCGTGCGTCGATCTGTTTAAAAAATTGGATGGAAAATGATGTTGGAGTAGATAAATAAGAAATATAAAATCGATTTTCAACACAACTTTTAGAATACTAGTTATATAAATAATTATATTACGCTAAAACTATATTTATAGAAAATAAATACTTATATGTATATATACCTATTTCTATATACCATGTGTTTCGTCAACAGTTCTTTTTGATACGTAATGCAATCAATACTCTATAAGAACTAATAGTGTTTGCAATGGAGTGAATTTTTGGACATATAAAATTTTATTTAAACAAGTTTGGACATATAGAATTTTATATGTCTGCATTCAAATCAAATTTTTATTGAACAGACCTTGACAAATTGTCATCATTCTGGCCTGTAAAAATTACAATTTATAGATATTATAAAAGTAAAAGAATAAGTATATTGAAAATGATTCGAGTAGAAATAATATTAAAAAGCTTTTTTCTATTAGAATTTTTTAATTAGAGCAAATTACTTTGAGCAAGTAAAAAATCATATGATGAGAGAAGTATAATTGGTTGTATGTACGTATAGTTGCGTAATATTTACATTTACG